CTGAATACTTTCCGTACCCACTGTATGACCCTGATGAACTGCCATGCCCATTCACTATCCCAAATTCCCACCCCCTTGCTTTCTGCCTCTGTACATAAAAGACACACTACTTCATGCACTGGCACTGAGTGTTGGCATTTGACATTTTGTGTGGTATGATTATTTAATATGAACATAATTCCAGTGGCTACCTGACTGATACAGATTACCAGTGAGTATGACATGCTAAAGAAAATAGGTCATAATTCATTTGAAACTTGTGTGTTTTTAACTGTGGTTGATTAATACTACTCCTTTTTTTTTTAGTCTGCCAAATTATTCAACTATGCCAAATGGGACAAAACCTGCAAAGCTCTATTTGTTCTGTTTGCCATCGTTTTTATGGTAACACGACTGATCATCTTTCCATTTTGGTAAGTTGATAATGTGTGAATCGGCAGATGTATTTATGTTTAAATGTTTTAAATGACAATGAGCATTAATGTTTGATATTTAAGTTTCTTTCAATTCATTCTTTTTGATTTTGCGCATTTAATTTTTATTTTTATAAACTAAATCGAGATATTTGTGTTGCTTGCCATATAAAATCAGATTTGCTCTCGTCATTTTTTACAAGTCCAAGTGAAGTCTCAAGTTTTTTATGGTTGTGATAAGTGTTCTATCATCTGCCACATGCCCTACAGACCACTTAGAACACTGCATTGCTATATCTAATTAATTTAAAGCATATGGCTACTTCATTGTGGTCACTCTATTATTTATTAGCATACAGTATCAGCATCGATTAGTTGTTAGGTGTTTGGTACATGGAATACTGTATATAAAATATGTATACAGACTAATGGTTCGTCATGTAACAGGAAAGTTTCACTAACATTATTAGGCATGCAATAACATCTACAACCTATTTTTCAATAATAGTTAAGAGTACTGACATACTGTGTAATTACTGGGGCTGCCCCCTGAAAGGCGGCTAGTTGAAATATTAGTTGAGAAGCCCGTAAGTCAAATGAAACTCTTCTAGTGGAACCATTGTTTTTATTTTATTTCATTTTTTGTCATCCAGTGTGCATTACAATAAAAGGCAGCCCCATCCCCTGTTAGTTTTACCAAGCAGCAATTTGCTCTAACCCTGTGGTCAGGAGGGAATACACACTTCAACAGTGAGACTGTGCAATACATGGATGTATAAGGTCTAACGACAGTATTTAGGAAGCTGCTGCCCAGATTGAGGAGAAAAAGACAACAAAATCCATTAGGACAAGTCATATAAATGTGAGATTTGTACTTTAGTAGAAGTGTTTCCAAACATCATGGCCTACTTTTATAAGAGAAAAGACTAATGGTCACAATAATGTGGTTGGTTTTGCATATGTGCATCCAGTTTGATTGCCCATCACTGCATAGCGGTTTAACGTGTTTTTGCAAAATGCATCCATCCGAATAGGACTAGGAAACTAACAAAAATGCAGTGGGAAAACATTTCAATGAGGAATTAAAAGAGGAATCATAAATATATATTTTTCACCAATGCACACTGACATGCATCAAAGATAACAACAAGGCTGCTTATAATGGGATGAAAACAGGTGCAAACAATCAGGAGAAGGTGAAAACAATGAGTGCCAATTAAAGTAAAATGTCCGAAACTGAGGTGAAACAAAAACAGGAAGTAATGTCAAAATAAAAGCACAAGAATCGAAACAGGCGGGACAGAATCATGACAGGTAAACTAGTGTATAACCATGTCTCAGAAAAAAAAACTATAAAATCATCATTTCAATCGAAATATAAGTGGGCTGCATGTCTCGTTATTCCAAGAAATCCATATGGCAGTCCGACATTAGATACAGTGGGTACGGAAAGTATTCAGACCCCCTTAAATTTTTCACTCTTTTTATATTGCAGCCATATGCTAAAATCATTTAAGTTCATTTTTTTCCTCATTAATGTGGAGCCACCCTTTTCCGACTGAGAACCATGGCCTCGGATTTGGAGGTGCTGATTCTCATCCCAGCCGCTTCACACTCTGCGCCTAGAAATTCTGTCCATAAAAATAATGAACAGAACCGGTGACAAAGGGCAGCCCTGCCGGAGTCCAACATGCACTGGAAACAGGTCTGACTGACCGGGGCCCGGCCGAGCTTAGCCCGAACGAGCGACGTGGGGACGTCCTCCCGTGGGCCCACCACCTGCAGGAGGATCCGTAAGGGGCTGGTGCAAAGTGGATTGGGCAGCAGTCGAAGGCAGGGGCCCCGATGACCCAATCTCTGGACACGGAGACTAGCCCTGGGGACATGAATATTCAAATTCATACAAATATACTGTACAGTGGAACCTCGGTTTTCATATACCCCAATTTTCGTTGAAATTTTGTCCCAGTTTTCAAACATCCCCTCGGTTTTCGTACAGTTGATTGGTCAGTTCAGCGTCATTAGTCCATACCAAACTCGTCCGCCTGCCCGCATGATTCGGCTGCTCATTTCCCGGAAGAAATGAGTGAAGGGAAGTAACCCCAGATAGGGCCTTGATACATGAAGTCTTTATGGAGGGGGATTCCCCTTCCAAACAATAACCTCTCCTCCTCCCTCTCCCCTCCTCACTGTCTTCCATACGCCAACAAGAGTCTTCAATAGAGGTCAAAGTGATGTTAAATGTTCATTTATCAATGTCATTAGTCATTTACATTTATTTCTCATTGTTTTCTGTATGTAAAAATATAGTTATTCTCTATAAAATGTATTTTTGTTAATATTTTTGGGTGTCTGGAATGGATTAATTGGATTTACATTATTTCCTATGGAAATATTGCTTCAGTTTTTTCGTACATTCGAGTTTTGTCTGACTTTTTCGAACGGATTAATCATGAAAATCGAGGTTCCACTGTATAACATTTAGAAAAGCCAAGGTGATTTTGAGGATTAAAATAGTGTCCATCCTGTCTATCCACCCCACAACAGTGGTCCTCAGGTTTTTTCTTAGAATGGAGGTACCTGGGTCACAGTTAGTTGAAAACGCCTGGCGTATAGCACCAGAAGGTCCATAAAAAGGCTTGCTACAGTGACCCTGCATGATTGAGCACAGTAGCCACCTCCTTATTGCTGCTCATGCTGCTGCTTACCTTAGCAACACTGCTGTTGGTATGTCATCATTAGAAACACTGGAGGCTGCTTTCTGTCTGAAAATATTGTAAGGAGCACCTTTCTGGGATATGTTTATGGCCAAGGCATTTATATCCTGATCAAAGCTTTGCTACAGCCCCGGTAGATAGTCTCTTATTTCTTGTCAATTGATGCTTTTCCAAAACTTGGTCAGTAGGAAAAGCATCTCTCCCTATAACACAATACAACAGAATGAAATCAAATCAACATCATTTGTACCAGTCAAATACACATCATAATCTAATTATGCAGGACATAGGTCTGAACCCTAGATATTAGACATTTTCATTTGTCTTTATTCTGCTCATGTTTCAGGCTGATCCACTGTACCTGGGTTTACCCTGTTCAACACTACCCTGCCTTCTTTGGCTACTACTTCTTCAATGTAATGCTGGTTGTCCTCCTCTGTCTGCACCTCTTCTGGGCTTACCTCATTCTATGCATGATCAAGAAATTCATGTTTGGCACAGTAAGTTTGCTCAGTTAGAACCCTCTGTTATTTATCAATATTTCAAAATCTTTTTTGATGGGTACAAAATATTTTTGTGTTAGTGCGATCTAGTAAGGCTGTCCAGATATTGTAGCATATCATCATCAGGCAGGCAGCTAATGTTAGGTTGTTATACAGAGGGGAACAAACACAGGGCTTGCTGTGAGTACTGGGGTATTCTTCATACAGTATGTCACTAAACAGATCCAAGATCAAATGAGTAATAGTGGTTTTTCTAATGCTGGCTAAGGTTATCCAGACATTTCAGTTCTATAACCACCAACTGAGTTGTGGATTGGAAATGCAAGTGCATGCTCTAGTGGTCATTGACTATACTTTAAATATTGACAGTTAAATCTATGATCGGTTTGTTTCACATTGGCTACGTGTAAATGTCCAAAGAAGGAGTGCAGTCTGTCACCCCAGAAGAATGACAGCTTCTGTCTAAGGGCTACAATGACTTTAAAGGTTTAAATCCATGAGGCAACTCTGCAAAAACACTGAAAATGCAGAGTTGTATGCACAAAGTGACAAATAAAATGCACAAATTTTCCATTTGTGACATGCCAAACCAATGTTAACTCTGGTTTTTCCTTGTCCTTTGTCGCACTCTTTCTGTGCTACAGAATGCAGCCTCTTGGGTCTAACAGATCCGCTCCCATCCTGGGTTGTACCTGCACATGGTGCGTTCATGGTCTGTCTTTGAAATGACCCATACTGGTTTGAAAAATGCATTTTATAACTTTGGATCAACGGGGCGTGGAAGAAGTGCAGTGCACACCTCTAGACAATTTTGCACTTGATTTATCCACATTTGTGCTAAATCTTAGTTACTGTAGCTTTAACTCCTGTCATTGTTAGGATGGCTCGAACACAGAAGTGAGCGAGTCACAAAAAATTGACGGACCCAGGTGACTGACTTCGATGCAGGCAGTGCTAGTTTATTTACAGTGTTAAATTATAAGTGACAAGAAATGAACAGTAGAGTAGTAATGGGGACCGGGTGTCAAGCTTCGGAGGGTAACACAGTCAATGGTGGAGATGATGAGAAGAGGACCGGGCTGTGGACACTGGGATTCACTCCTGGACTGGTCGAGTGGGATGGTTCTGAAGATGAACAGAAATAGTACATACGGTAAGTAGTAGACTGCATCGACCTGCAGGGTGGTGATGAATCAGAGTGGAGGAGGTCCGTGGTCCGAAGGAGCGACTGAGGCGAGGAGGGAATGAATCTAAGCAGCTGGAGAGAAGGAGACAAAAAATACTAATACAGATCAAAAGAACGACGGGGAACAAACGGGCCTGAGAAATGCTAGAAAGAACTGGCAGGGGAGTGAACGAAGAGCAGGGACTAAATAGGGAGAAACTGATCAGGTGCAGCTGGTGGTAATCTGGGGGTAAGGAGTAGGTGTAAAGAATAACGTAATCAGGGTAAGGAAGTGAAAACAAAGTGAGGGGAGTGAGAAAGTAGGTGCAGCCGGGCAAACCTGACAGTCATGTCAGTCAGTCAGCAGGTTTACAAAAATAAAATGATGGCAGCCCACTGAATGTATCAGGTGTCCTTTGTATTTTTTCACTCCTGCCCCTCTATGGGCGTAAAATCCTTTCATAACTAGCCACCTATACGTAATCGGTGATTTACAAATTCAGTCAAAGTTACAAATGTGTATAAACCAATTTGTGACATTGGTGTGGTGAGTAGAGCAGTCGTCTCCCAACCAGAAGGTTGAAGGTTTGAATCTCGGTGCCTGCAGTCCACGTGTCGAAGTGTCTGTCCTTGGGCAAGACACTGAACCCCCCATTGCTCCCGATGGTTAGAGCCATCGGTTGAGTTGGCACCGCAGATGGCTGCCATCAGTTCTGTACCGGAAACAAATTCTTGGTGTATAACATATTTGGCCAATTATCCTTATCCCTTTTACGACAGTGCTGTGTGTACAGTGTGTCCATAGCAGGCAGTTCAGTCCCAGTGACCCTCTCTGCAGTCTTTATGACCCTTTGAAGAGCCTTCCTCTCTGCCTGTATGGTTACCATACCAGACTGTGATGCCAGTAGTGAGGATGCTCTCTACCAGTCCTCTATAAGCCTGGGTGAGAGGGTGGCGGTTTCATTCATGCTATGAGGTGACTATAGTGAACGGAAGGTCCACAGAGTAGTAACTGCTTTGTGGGCTACTGAGAAGGAGCAGATAACTTTAGTATTTCTGCAGCCCAAGCTGACATTAAAGGTTTTGCAGGATTGTAGCTGCCTGATCTCTGTCATGTAGCACAGAATATTGTGAAGTCTCTTATTGCAGAAGTATAAATCTAGTTTAACCCTAACCATAACTACTGAAATTAATGGCCACAAATAGAATTACCATCAAACAATCAATTATATCAAAGGTTCTGCCTATTTGTCTCATACATCTGACCCACCATGCTCACTGTGTCCACACTGGTATTACAGTGAGAAATAATTTTGGATGTGCTGTCCTAAAGGATCATTCTTGTTAATTATTGATTTGCCAGTATTTTTGAAGCTATAGAAATCAGACAGGTAAGCTGAGGTTACAAAATCTGCTCACAGGTGGTGTTATGGTTGAGTCCCCTCACCAGGGGGTGAGGGAGAACAAGAGGTAGGACTCAGGATGCAGACCCAGGTGCTAGTAAAAAAAAAAAAAAAAGGTGGTTTATTGGAGAAAAGCAAACAAAGTACTGAGTATATGTACAGTATTGTTCAAAATAATAGCAGTACAATGTGACTAACAAGGGGCCTATTTCAAGAAGGCGGTTTAACAAACTCAGAGTTCAAACCTGAACTCTGAGTTGACTTACTCAGAGTTGGAAAACTCTGAGTTTTCGGTTTCAGAACAGCTGAAAAGAGTTGGTTTAATCAACTCTGAGTTGTCTGACTCAGAGTTAGGCGCGTGCCACGCGACTATAAAAAGCCCTGAACAATGGAGTGAAGAAATTACGAGTCACCATGGCAACAGGACCAAGCCAAAATAGGTCTGCGTTTTTCCCCGACAGAAATGGATGTGCTACTACAAGCATATAGTGACTACGAGCCCATATTCCGTAA